CGGGTGCTGGGATGACGCCGCGCCGGGCACTGCCGCCGCAGAGAGATGGCTTTGCGCAGCCTGCAGGATACCTTCACTGTCTGACTCCGCAAACCTCTCCGCTGTCGGTACCTCAAAGCTCAATGTCCCTGTTTTCCTCTCCACGAGGAGCTGTGGTCAATAGCTGGCACAAAAGCAGCTGCAGAAAATTGACCAGGAATTGAGAAGTGCTTCACCCCCAAAGCACTTCACGCTTTTTTGCTAAATGAGGAACCTCCCTAACAGGTCTGACATAAATTAAGCAAAATCCTTACTGTCCTGAGATGATGCCACCACAGGAAAAAACAAATTTGATAAAAGCAGTGATTAAGAAAGAAAATATCCAGCAATTAGTCCTTACTACAAAGGTACTTGATGACAGACTCAAGTCACCCAGTATCACAGAACCACCCAGTAAGAGGTGACACTCTCAGGGAAGGGGAGGACAGAAGGGCCAAAGGTTTGGACAATTTGTTGGAAGAGCTGCTGACGAACGGAGGCGTGTAAGGAAATCAGTGTGATAAGAAAAAGCCTGCCTGGCTTCGGATCCTCCCGCTCTCGCTCATGTTTATTCTGCATTTTTAAGTGCCTGGAGAAATGAGGAGGCACTTTCAAATGTAAATGTGAAAAAGTAAATAAATACCAAACTCCTGATTTAGCAGTACTGCAATTCTGCCTTACTGATAAATTGAAATGCACGATGTGATCCATTACAACGTGGCTTTTACCTTACCTTTCTACTAAATAACTTATAAAAATAGTTTCTTCAAATTTCTGACGTGTGTTTCCACATTCCGGCCAATATTACGTTTTTTCTATTTTATGAAATAACGGAATAGTAGGGGTTGGAAGGGACCTCTGTGGGTCACCCAGCCCAACCCCCTGCCCAAGCAGGGTCACCCAGAGCAGGCTGCACAGCACCGCGGCCAGGCGGGGCTGGAATATCTCCAGAGAAGGAGACTCCACAGCCTCCCTGGGCAGCCTGGGCCAGGGCTCCGTCACCCTCAGAGGGAAGAAGTTCTTCCTCGGGTTCAGCTGGAGCTTCCTGTGCCTCAGTTTGTGCCCGTTGCCCCTTGTCCTGTCGCTGGGCACCACTGGAAAGAGTTTGTCCCCAAATACAAAAATATTATTATCGAATCTAATATAATTAAAAAATAAATCTGTTAAAATGAAGATTTTACACGCTGGGAAATGCTGACATTCACGGACAGAAGGCACTGCAAGAAGCAGGCTTCTGAGTTTAGGGTTTTTTTTTAAATCAGGAGATCTCTTTCACTTCATGTGACCGACTTTCGTTACGAGGTCTTTGGGAACAGAGCGAGTAAATGGAGAATGGTAAGGAGAAACGCTTCTCAGGTCTTTTTATTCTCTAACTACACGAGTAGCACAACTCCTCTGTAACAACACTTGCTTTTTAAATAAAGAGCCAGGAACAAGGAATGAAACCAGAGCTGCCTTACGCAACCTAACTATCACCGACGGCTTCTCCGGCACTGCTAGGTGTCCATGCCAAGGGCCATGGGCATGTCCAACCTCACTGCCGCTGGCAAAAAGCTCCTTCAAGTGAACAACCACCCTACAGCAAGCTTACTGCCCTTCAGACGCGCTCATCCTCCAACCTTCCAGCCGGCCACTGCTGGGAGCTGAACCTCATGGCTCTCCTTGCCAATGACCAAGCCCCGGGGAGCCGGCAGCACGCTGGCTGACGGCGCGGGGAAAAAAGCTCCGTCATCTCCTCCGCGCCTTCGCACACCTCGCAAGCGGCCGAGGACTCTGCCCTGCTGCGAGAGAGAATTGTAAAATTATAACGATAAAAATTATAAAAATGAATATTCATACTCCCTACATTAGCAGAAAAATACTTCAGCTAAAAGCATTCATTCTGGAGTCAGACTCTGTCATTCCTCTGCTCTGATAAAGGTGGAAAGATTCACAACAGCAATAACGAAAATCCATCCTCGTCGCCTCTAGAAAAGCAATGACGACACGAGGTTGCTCGCACCTGTAAAAAAATGCATAAACTGTGAGAGGAAAACGCCGAGCGTAAGTGGGAACCATCAGGGAGCAAGAAAACTACCGAAACCCACGGCAGACGACATGTCCCGGTGCCTGCAGGGTGGATGGTGGTGAGGGTCCTCGTCCACATCCCCCATGGGCACAGCCCTGTCTCCCCGGGACCATCCCCAGGGACAGGGGGAAGGGAAGGGCTTTCTGCCGAGCCCGCGCCCTGCTCTGCCCCGTTCCCTCCCGGCGACGCTGGCAGGGCTCTGCTTTCCTCCACTTATTGAACTGGAAGGAAGCAATCGAGAATTCATTTGATTTTCTACGGCACCTCGTGCCCGCAGGATACCGAAGAGCAAAGCAAGCGAACAGAAAGCACCTGCAAACAAGAACGTGCTTCTTCCCTCGCTACCTTGTTCTCCTCTTCCTCTGGAAGAGCAACGAAACCGTGAACACCGGGTTTGCAAACGCCCAGCCCCGCTTCCCACCCCGCACGCTTTCCGTCAGGCTGGTGAAGGGCTGGTGGAGCTCTCAGAATCACAGAATCACAGAATAGTAGGGGTTGGAAGGGCCCTCTGTGGGTCATCTAGTCCACCCCCCCTGCCAAAG